CGGGGCCGGGCTGAGAGGCGGGGCTCCGCTTGCAAATTACCTTCCTCTGCCCGGGTCCCGCAGAGTCTCTGCCCCGGTAGAATCCTGTTTCCTTGCCGCCTGATCTCTCCGTGCGCCATCCTCTCCCCTCCTGGGACAAAGCACTGAACTGCCATCACATCACGCCTCTTACTAAAAGTCTCCCAATCTCCGCTTCCCCTCCTCTAGCCCCCCATTCTCGGGCCAAGCCGGCTGTTCCCACGAACCCAGTCCAGGTGTACCTATCTCAGCCTTAAGGGCCTTCTGCGAGTGAGGCCCAAGTAGTGGAGTGGACCATGTCAGATTGTCTCCTTTAATGTATAACTATTGACTCGTAATACGGGTGCTCCTGGGAGATGAACTAAGTGCAAGCTGACCTAAAGAAAGCCAGTCTGGGAGGTGAGCTATGATCGCTGTATTACGGGATGCAGGGCTGCCCTGGTCTCTACCAGGCTCTTGTGCCATTCAAACAATTGAACCAAACAACCGAAGAACGTAGAGGTTTAACACTTATTAAAAGTAACAGTAGGGAGAAAAAAAGAGAGAAGAATCGCTCTGAAGAAACAGAAGTGGTCTTGGCCCAGAGTTGTGGTGCATACCTTAATCCCAGCACCTGGGAGGCTGAGGTAGGAGGCTTACTGTGAGTTTGAGGCAAGCCTGAACTGCATGATGAAACCCTGACTCAAAAGAAATAAAATGTAATAGAAATCCTCTGAAGAGTAGGAGTAGGAAAAGAAAATATGCCCTGAACGCAGAGTGACCACTGCAAGAGAGACAGTGGCCATGAGGCCAGTGGCTGCCATCCTTTTATACCCCCATTCCACCATCAGATTCAGGCTGACAGATGCAGGGCTCTGAAGCTATTCTGTGCACGTGTCCTGGCGGTGATTAACAGGTCTCCATGATTGACAGGTCAAGCCCAATTGCAGGTCAGTTTGCCATCCACTAATCTCCTGCCTTAATCCCACACCTTCTCCCCTCCTCATGCCCTTAGATAAGCCCCAGCTGTGCACCCTGACAATGGGGGTCCTCTCTTGGATTCGACCACTGTGCCTGGCACAAACCAGGGATTCAACCCAGGGCCTTCACACTGAGCCTCATTCCTAGCCCTTTTTAAATTTTTATTTATTTATTTATTTATTTATTT